GGGGGAGGACGGAACCAGAGGAGAGAGGTAGGTGCGGGGGGGGAGGACGGACAGGCTGCACACATTTTACAAGTGATCGCAGCGACATCGCCGTGATAACTTGAAAACGAACAAGCGGCTTCCTCACATTACATTTAGTCCCGCCTTCCCAAAGCAGGGCTAATTGTAGAAGGCAACATACTGCCCGGCACTTTATGTTCCGGGTGTCGAGGGATTCCACACCGCTGCCGCCTCTCTGCGCCCCGCCGCCCCGAGGCCGTTCCTCGGTGGCCTTGTGGGGGATCCGGGCCTGTCTACAAGCATTCATGATGCATCAGATGAACTTCCAGCTAATTATTTTATAAGAACTAAAAGCCCAATTCTGGAAAACTTTCCTGAATGAATATAAATCTCCAGCAGGAAAGAAAAGCAGTTTAGACGTCTTCCCTCCCGATCTGTCACATGCAGTACCCTTTCTTCACCACAAGATGTCCTCATTCTTGCAGACTGAATGATGTCTAGGATTGAGGATATACTGGGTGTGCAGGGCGTCATTGCCTTGCCCCCTGAGGGGGTGTCACCATGTCACCCGTGTAATGATATACTGTATATAGCAGCACTGATTACCCATTTCTGGAAGGGTGCTGAGTTGGCGACGTAACCCCGAAGTTGGGCTTTGAAGTGAACCTGTACTGTACCCATAGTAGATAAATGAACAGGTTCTCTTTGTAGCAGACACGGCAAGCATGTCCTCCGCAGTCCCTGAACATATGAAATATTCCCCTCGGCACACTTTTTATTGGTCCATATAAAGATAACGGACATTTATTATAGAGGAGGGTTACTTGTCCTTCCAGTAGAATTGTCCCCAGTGCCCGCACACGTCCTCTATCCCGGCCACCAGATGGTCCAGAAGCTGAAACAGAATTTAAAGGAGGACGAGTTCATCAATGAGCTGAACCGTATGAACTGCTTCCATCATACATGCCAACCGCCCCGGACTACACCGGAAAGTCCCCCATCTCGGCCCTCTGTCCCACCAATGATCTGTCCTGGGCCATGTCCTGGGATCACAGCATCAACCTTATCTGAGTTGCTGCACATACATAGTAACATGACATAGCCATGAATTGCAAGGATCGGGGCCACAAGTGGGCGCGGTTACCACATATTTGGAGGTGTGGTTTGCATGGGACCAACACGCAAAGTGACTGAGGTGGGTAGGTGGGGCAAACACGTAACATGGCTGGGTGGAGTATTTAGAGGTCGCGTCTGGTTGAGACCAACCTGTAATAAGGGAATGCTCTGAGCGCACCTACCCAAAAAGTGGGCAGAGAACATGCAGGGTGGGGGCGGGGCTAACAGTGCCCCAGGATCTGGGACCATATTGTCGGTCAGTATATTTCCATTAGATATTTCCTTGTTATAAATCGTAGTAACATAGAAGGTAATGTTGAATAAAGACACGGGTCCATCCAGTTCAACCTATCGGGCTTCAGGTCTCCCTGTACTGAGTTCCACCATCTCCGACTCCCCACACAGGACGTTGGTGGGTCTAGTTTTGCCTCCGATCACACAGACTGCAATGCCTAATGTCGTGTCCATCACATCCCAAACTTTACTATAGAACTTGTAGCGCAAACATCGGGGCATTTTGACAAGTACATTACTTGTCAAAACGCCCTGTTTTTTCCGCCCTCACCCTGCAGCGCCGTAAGGCGGCCGCCTGACTTGCCTTGCTGTAGCGCCGGGCCTGTATATATATATTATGTACAAGTTAAAAACATCATTTGGGTTCATTAAGGCTTTGACACACTGCAAGCCAAGCAGCGCGGAGCGGTGGCGCGCTGCCTTCGCGAGCAGTGGGTCCAGGGCCGCCATCAGGGGGGATTGGACAGATACTCATGGAAGGGGCCTGGGGGGCCCGCCCGGGAGCCTTTCATGAGTATCGGTCGACGGTGACAGGTGAGGAGGGGGCCGGGCCCTGCTCTTCTGATCTCGGGACTGTCCGGAAGTGACATCGCGTCACTTCCAGCCAGTCCGGCAGCAGAGGAGGCCAGGTGTACAGGCACCAGGAGCAGCTAAGAGGAGCTGGGAGGAGGGAGGGAGATGCATCCCAGACCAGCCCACCTGAGGCCCTGCAGAGCCCACCATAGAGAGTATCAAATGAGCTGTGCAGCATCTATGGTGGGCTCTGCAGGGTCACTCTCAGGTATGTGTGGGTTCTCAGGTGGGTCCTGCGTCCAGCACGTCGGGGGG